GACTGCTGGCGGCTTCGGGGCAGCGACCAACCCGACTACTGGTGGCCTCGGAGCAGCGACCAACCCGACTGCTGGTGGCCTTGGAGCTGGAGCTAATGTCTCGGTTCCTACCGCCACTGGGCTGGGCGCCACGGTTAACCAGAATAGTAGTGGTGGTGGTACGGCATTTAGCCCGAGTGGTGGGGCTTTTGGTAGTGCTCCTGCGGCTGGTGGGGCAGTAGGGGCGAAAACTACGCCTGGCACTGGCGGGGGGAACAACCCGGCAGCGGGAGGCCAAACCATTGGGGCCCCTGCAGGGGCTTCTGCGGGCAGTGGTGGATTTAATTTCTCTGAAAACAAACCCCAAGCTGCGACAGGGGCCCCTTCCACCCAGGCGCCATCGACGGGACAGACCGGTGGGTTTGGCTTCTCCACATCTAGCACGTCTGGGGCTACAGCAGCTGGCAACTTTGGTTCACAACAAAATGGTGTCACTGGACCCGCTAAAAGCTCGGAGAGTGGCGGGGGTTTTTCCTTCGGGGGCGCGAATCCAGGCGGTGCTCCTGCAGCTGGCGCGACTGCTGCGACGAGCACTGTTGCAAAGGATGCAACCGCAACAAGCGGTGGATTTGGCGGTTTTGGTTCTAAGAGCACCAGCGCTGCTGGCACCGCGACTGGTGCGACGACCACACCCTTCGCTGGTTTCGGATCGACATCGGCAGCGCCAACAGCGGGGGCCTCGGCAACTGCTGCGACCACCTCTAGCAATGCGGGAGTAGGGTTCGGCGGGGTAGTGGACACAACAGCTGGTGGTGGTGCTGCAGCTACCGCTACCACAGGTGCGGCGACAAATAGTGCCGGTGCGAATGCCCGCAAACCTGCTGCGGAAGAACTCAAGGGGAAAATGCTCTCCTCCATCCTGGCTCAGTTCGACAAGGACTTCTCAAAGGACTACCGTGGTTTCCACGACCTTGCGCAGCACATGCTGCTTCGTGACCGACAGATAATCGACCGGGGAAATGAGATTCTGGCGCAGATGTCGCAGCTTGACTCTGCCATCGCCTCTGCGGAGGGGACGAGGCAGACGCTTGCCGAACTGAAGAACAAGCAAGGGGCGATTGCGACAATGATGCAACGTCTGGAGGACGCGGTGCAGCCTGTCTACGCGAAGGCGCAGCCGAACTTCACTAAAGTCGATGAGACTCGTGAGGGAACGTATACGGCGGCGATCAACCTCTTCGACGAGGTGGAAGCACTGCGGCTGCGGCTACAGCAGTGCGTGGAACAGCACAACCGTACCCTCCGACAGCTGCAGCAGCGTGACGACCTCGAAAAGATGTCTGGGCTTGTTGACTACCAACTGAGCGCTTTGGGGGTGTGTGCATTGCGAGCGGAGGGCTTGGAGCATGAGCTTGACCTGCTATTGGGGAAGCCACCCGCCATGTGATGATGTTGCGTCGGAGTGCCGAGGAGTCCGTTCCTTTCCTTTTTGCTTACACACTGTTTCTCTCTCTTTCACACACATACACACACATTATATATATATATATATATATATATATTTATAACGTTAGTCTGCGCATTTGCTTATGTGTGGTTCTTCAAATTGCCCTCTGTGTTATATCTCTTGATGGGAGATGGAGGAGGGTAGAGATGATCGTAGCAGCGACGCAGACGAAGAAACACATTCGATCTGCCAGGTATAAGAAATTCTGTGAGGGATGCTCTGTGTGCGTGCAGGTGCGCTGGAGAACGAGAAGGACGAGTTGTGATGCACCTAATGGGCTTTGCGTCGTACAGGAGGTGGAATGCAGGGTGTAGAAGAAAACGTCAACAAGGTGAAGGAGGGTGTGTGCGAAGAGAGCGAGAGAGAGCGAAAAAAAAAAAAAACCAAACAGAAGGGCACTGGCATAGAGTGAGCACTTTTAACAACACGTATTAACGACGGCGAGGAACAAGAAGAACCACACAGCACATTTCTTCTTTGATCGCCACCAGCGCTCCGTCACTGTCTTATCCGTTTCATTCCCGCTCAGCCACTCCGTAGTTGTGTGTCCCTGCTGTCTTGCTGCCATGCTTCTTCTGTTGTCTCACTCCGTCTTTCGTTTCTTGCTGTTGCCCCCCCCCNCCCCCCCCCCCCCACTCCACGGAAATCGGCGCATAGAACAAGACGCGTTTTATTCGTGTGAGAGAATCAGGTATTGGACAATGAAGTTTCTCACCTTCGGCGCTGCTGCACTGCTGGGAGCGGCATTCCAGTCGTTCAGCACATCGCCCGACCGCGTCGCGCAGTGCCGTGCGGAATCCACCTTCGAAACAAAGTTCAAGCCGTTCGTGCTAGGTGAGGTGGTGAACCTCGCCGAGGATGTCGCCGTCTTCCGCTTCCTGCTGCCTAGCGCCGACACCACGTTCGACCTCACGCCGTGCAGCACGCTCCAGGGCTGCATCAAGCAGGGTGGGAATATCGTCGACCAGCCGATGCGCTTCTACACGCCAATCACACCCAATGGCACCAAGGGCTACTTCGACCTTCTCGTCAAGAAGCAGCCGCGCGGCCGCTTCACCGAGCATCTGTTCTCCATGAACGTCGGCGAGCCGCTACTCTTCCGCGTGGTGCAGTACAAGCTGCAGTACAAGCGAAACAAGTGGGCGGAGGTCGGCATGATTGGAGGCGGTACAGGCATCTGCCCGCTGCTGCAGTTCATGAACGCCTCGCTCGACATGCCAGGCGACAACACTAAACTCTCACTGCTGTTCGCCAATAAATCAGAGAACAAAATACTTCTCAAGGGCATGCTTGATAAGAAGGCTGTGGAGTTTGCTGATCGTCTGAAGGTGCACTACACGGTCGACGCGGTCGAGAATCCCGAAAACAATTACAATGGTTTTACTGGCTACATCACAGAGGAAATGTTGAGGGAAACGATGCCGAAGCCATCGCTGAGCAACTTGATTCTTGTGTGCGGCCCCGATCAGATGATGGCGCGGGTCGTCGGTGCCCCGCCAAGCGTACTCAAGGCGATGAGCAGCGGCAATGCGTACCAGCCAGCAGGAACGGTGCTGAACAACGCGGCTGATGTGGAGGGCATCCTTGGCAAGCTTGGCTATACGAAGGACATGGTCTACCGCTTCTAGTTGATGTGGTGTGGCGGCGGCAGTACCAAAAAGAAGGGCTATATTCCCTTGAGGGAAGATGTTTTGTTTTTGCTTTTGTTTAGGTAGGAGTTGTGGGGTTTATGTGACATCGGTGTGTTCTCCTTTTTTTTTTAGTTATGGGTGGGGGTTTCCTGTGTGTTGAGCACGGCGGGGAATAGGAGGATCCTTTTCATTTGTCTGACTTCCCATTTCGCGTCTGCTTTTTCTTGACGGGTGCGGCTGTGCGTGAGGCGGGTGTTCCCCAACGCAAGTCGCCACGTGCGACTGCTCTGAGCCGACACTGCGAAGTACCGTAGGGCCCAGTGGTCGTGCAGCAGCAGCAGCAGCAGCAGCAGCAACAACAACAGCCAGCACTCTGGGCCGCACTCAGACATCACGTTTAGCTACGCTTGTGCACGCTGATGCATGCGTGTGGAAGCGCAGGGGCGGGGGAGATACATACGCCCAACTGTGTGTATGTGCCTCTGTGTGTGTGTGTGTGTGTGTGTGTGTGTGCACTCGCTGTGGCCTTTGCGTTTCGCCATAGGGGGCGCAGCGCGTGAGGTGGGGTGACTGATTGTTTTAACTTTTTATTTAGTGTGTGTGTGCGTGCGTGTGAGAGAGAGGGAAAGAGAGGAGGGATTTGACATAAACCAGCAGCGCGAATGGACGTAGGGGGAGAGAGACGAGACAGGGGCCCGACACGGTGTACGTTTAGCACTAGTAGCACTGCGGCAAATGAACAGAGCGACGGCAAGAAGAAAATACAAAAAAAAAAGAAAGTGTCTGAGACAGAAACATGAGCAGAGACAGCAAGGCAAACAAAACGAGCAAAACAACAACAAAAAAAAACACAAAACCGGAAATGAATGAAAAGGAAACGAACAAACAAACAGAAGACAAAGAAAATAATGCCGAAGTGAAGAAAGAGGGACTGTGCCGACCTCGCAGCTAGGAGTGGGGAGGGTAGACAGCACTACACAACACAAGACACTAATTTTTTTTTTTCCTTGCGGGGCTATTGCAATAGAAAGCTCCCTTGTGTGACCCCGCACCTTCCTTTGTCCTCTTCTTTTTATTCCCCCCCGTCTTTTGTATGTATTGGCCTCAGTTGGACTTTTGCACCATCTCCTCTTCCTGTCCATTCCCCTGGCCGAGGCTGCGAGTGGTGTTTGCGGTGCGGCTGCTTGTCTCCGTTTTGTCCGCCGCGGCGAGGGGACGAGGCGAGGGAACTCAGGGATTTGGGGGAAGACTGTGAAGCAGGTGTGAAAGTACCGACCTTTCTACCTCAGAAGGAGACAACAAGCGCCTTGAAAGAAAACAAAGAAATAAGAGAGATACGTAAAAGGTATATTTGCACCACTATATATATCTATGTCTATTTACCATTGTACGCAGGGGTGGGGGGGAGACGAATGTGCGCGGGGAGGAATAACCGAGAGAAGGGGGGCGGCAGCGGCGGAGGTGATTCTCAACGGAGTACAACTTCCGCAGCCGCTTGCCAGGCATGACGAGGGGAAAGGGGAAAGAAAAAAGGAAACAAGAAATAACTGCGGGGGCATCTTGCACATTGGATCGTGGCTGTATTTGGTTCTGTTTTTTTGTTCTTCAAATCGTTCTTTTTTCTCTCTATCTGTCTTGTGTGTGTGCTGCTGCTGCTGCTGCTGCCACGTTGGCGTGGAGGAAGAGCTGCCATGAAGGACCGAACGGCAGCCGCATTAACAGAAGATGCGCGGACAGCAGTGAAGACAACCCGTGGCCGCCCGCCTAAACACCAACAGGTATCGCAACACAATCAGAAGTTGGCAACAAACCGTATCTTCTTTCTTTACGCCTCACTGGCGGGAACCTTTGGCGCTCTCTCCGCTGTTGTTGGTAAACTCGCCGTTGCCGAGAGCAGCGGAGAGTCCATTGCCGCACTGGCGACCCCATTGCTCTCCGCTGTGGGCGTCCATATCGCCGGCGCACAGCTTTCCGGTGTGTTGCTCCTCGCAGTGCGGGGTCTTCTACTCGCCGTGAACGCCTTTTGCACAGCGCAGATGTGGCGGTGGTACCTGAAGGCCCTCTCGTGTGGCCCCACAGCAGTCTGCCAGATTATCAACACAGGGACGAACTTCGCTGTGAGCGCCCTCTTTGGTCTCTTGGTGTTCCGAGAGGAGATAACTGTGTCGTGGGCGGCGGGGGCCCTTCTTGTCGTTGTGGGGCTCGCATTGGTTGTGACGGACGCGGATGCCCCTGTGCGGTAGTGCTCGTGTGTATGAACTTGTGTTGGTGCATGTTCATGCCTCTTGCGCTGTGTGGCTGATCAACAGCGACGGGTGGTGCTCAGCTTTTTGCCTCTCTGCCTTGCTTCCACACTCATTTGCGGTGTTGTTGCTGCTGCATGTTTGTTGTTTCTCCTCCACCTCGATGCGTCGCCTCGGGAATGCTGAACGAAGGGGGAAAAAAGACGTTTTAGACAGTCGACAACACCAAACCCGCAAAGGCGTACATACGCACACGGGACGAAGGAGAAAGAAAGAGAAAGATAGAGAGAAAAAAATACACACAAAGAGCCAGATGGCGAATGCCACTCGGGGAGCATCAAGGTCACGTTCCAAGACACCGCGTCGTGCGACGTCGCGCAGGCGTGGTGGGTCGCCGACGCCCAAACAGAGTTTGGAACTCAACCCACGCACGGTGGGCTACGAGTGGGGCGGGCCTGTGGGCGCAGCGTGCATGGTACTGCTTCTCCCCTCCATCGTGCTTGCGCTGAATACTCTGTGTTCTGAGACGCAGTGCCGTATCGATGGTGTGTACACGCTTCCAACGACGCTGGTGGAGACTATCAAGGCATCTGTGCCGTATCTCCCGCAGGCACTCGGACTCGAGCTGGCGTGGATGGCACTACACGCACTGCTGTATCTTGTCCCCATCGGCAAGCAGGTGAAGGGAATGAAGCTGCGCAATGGGGAGACGCTCGTGTATAACATCAACGCCGTGTACGTCTTTGTTGTGATTCACGCCGTCTTGGGCGGGCTTCACTACAAGGGTATCATTGACTTGGCAGAGCTAGCAGATATGTTTGTACCGCTGATGCTCGCAGCCATCATTATCTCCACAGCGATGAGCGTCGTGCTGTACATGGCTTCTTTCCGCGCACCTACGGTTCTACTTTCCGCTGGTGGAAACACTGGCAGCCCCGCGTACGACTTCTGGATTGGCCGCGAGCTGAACCCGCGCAGCGGCGCGCTGGACTGGAAGTTCATGTGTGAGCTGCGCCCTGGCCTCATTGGGTGGAGTGTGCTCAACTGGGCCTTCGTCGCGAAGGCGGTGGCGACAGGCACGTGGACGCCGAGCATTGTTGCCATTGCGCTGCTCGATTCATTCTACACCTTTGAGGGCCTCCTATTTGAGGAGGGGAATTTGACTATGATGGACATTGTGCACGACGGGTTTGGCTTCATGCTATGCTTCGGTGACCTCACGTGGGTGCCCTTCACCTACACGCTCAAGGCGAGATTCCTTGCGTACCACCCGGTGGAGCTCAGCAACGCGTACGTGGCCTTCTTCTGCGTGCTTACCCTTGTGGGCTACATTATCTTCCGTGGCGCCAACAATCAAAAGAACAAATTCCGCCAGAACCCCCGCGACCCTGCGGTGGCAAAGCTGAAGGTGATGCGGACGTCACAGGGCAAATCGCTCATCATCTCCGGCTTCTGGGGCATCTGCCGCCACCCCAACTACGTGGGCGATTGGCTCGTGACATTGGGGTGCGCAGCGCTCACTGGCACGACGGCGCTCTTGCCGTTCTTCCAGCCGGTGTACTTCGCCGTCCTTCTAATTCACCGGCAGCTGCGCGATGAGCAGCATATGAGAGAGAAATATGGTGAGAAGGACTGGGCGAAGTATACCAGCATCGTTCAGTATCGTCTCATTCCCTTTGTCTACTGAGGCTGAATTCATCGACAACATTCATCGTGGTACGTGTCGGCCTCAGGCCCACCCGCACCATACCGCAAGAGGAGGTGCGTTTTCTTTTTCCTTTTTTTTGGATGGGGATATACTGATTGCAAAAGATGAAGAAAAGATAGAATGAGCGAGATCGGTGACGCTCAGAGAGGTGGGGGAATCGCTGTTGTGATGAGGATGATGGGATCGAACAGAAAAAAAGATGAAAAATTATTCAAAAAGGGGGGTGAGGGGTCAGGAGAAGCAAAAGGAAAAGAAAAAACACCGGAGAGTATTTTTGATTTCGTCCACTACAAGGATCTATGTACGAGAGTATATATATATATATATACATAAAGACCAGAAGTGGAATTGTACTGTTGTTTTCGAAAGAGAAGCATTAAGAAGAGGGGTATGAGCGACGATCGTACGCTGCTCTGTGAAAATACACGAACTCTCCTTGCGTGGCCATTTCATTGTTTTTTTTTTTTGTGGTTGTTGTTGTTGCGTTTCTTTCATCATTCCGGTTGTTGAATTCTGAGCGTGACCTCCGTCTCACCCGAGAAGGGAGGCAAAGGATGTCGTGGATTCGCTTGGAGGCGGCGAGTGGCCTACGCATCATGGCTCCATCCTTCAGCCCGCCGCCACGTATGGAAGGCATAGACAAGTTGTTCAGCCGCCCCATTCACGCGCGCGCATTTCACTGTTTTCGCAGTTGCAACGTGTCAGACGAAAGTGACAGCAACACCAATAACGACGGCGTCAGAGTTGCGGTGGAAGTTCTCGTGCTGGTGCAGCGGCAGCAGGTGGGCGGCAAACTGGGGGAGGTGTGCATCGCCGTCGGCAGCGCGGCGGCCACACGAAGTGACTTGGCCGTCCTACTGGAGTGCGCCCTCGAGGCGGTGCTGCGCAGCAACAACGACGGTACACGCCTGATCCTTGATGCGCTTTGTGCACCCCCCTCAGTGCTGTCCACGCCCTTTTCCACCACCGCAGCCGGGGCGGAGGTGGCCGAGTACGACGGACTTCCAACGGCAAAGTCGTCACCCGCGCACGAACGACGCGTGGGCGGGTGGCGCGCCGGTGATGTGGTGCCGTCCAACAGCAAGCGGCGACGTGACACGCGCCGCGTCGCTGTCATGATGCGACGCAGGGCGCTCCTATACTTTGTCGGCCAGGACGTCGTTCCCGTCAGCCTGCTATTCTGCCGCGTGTCAAGCACGGGTCCTGACGGCTGCACGTCAAGTACTGCCGCTGCGCAGCAGAACCGCAAAGACCTCCAGCCCCTTGCGAAATCTGCGGCGTGTGCGTGCAGGTGCCTTTTGGGCGTCCTTGATCGTACCCTTGTGGCTGCCTTCGACGTTAAGGACAATACCAATCAGCTTCTCTGGAGCGGCGGTGAGGCGGACAAGCCTCCGCTTGTGGCTGCTTTTTCCACGAGCGGGCTCCTTTTTGGCTCACCGTCGTTTTTTCACCTCACAGATCACCGCGACCGTCTCTTCTTGGCGGCGGTGGCGATGGATCGGCTGAGCCGGTGGTCCATAGAGCGAGACACATCTACACCAGCATTACTTGTGCACGTGTGTGAATTGCTTCTAAGATGTCGGAAGGAGGGACTGATGATGAAGTTCGTTTTTGTTTCGGTGGGAAGCGCGGTGTCCTGCGTCTTGGGCTTCCTGGCGGTGAACGAGGGTACCCTGTGGAGTGCTGAGACGTGGTTGCAGTTTGTGAAGACTCACCTCGCCACGCAGAGAACTTCCGTGATGCTCAGTAATATTATAGAAGCCGAATATGATGGCATTGATGACGATGATGGTGGCGCTGTGGGGGACGCTGTTGATATTGAACCCAGTGGTAAAGAAAATGTGGGCGAGTTCACCCCACACCTACTGCTCTGCGTCGCGTCGCTTCATCCTACGCCGTGGTTTCACCGGATCCTTCACGAGATGCACCGGGTTGAGGAATCAACTCCGAAAGCCGCCCTCATGGGCGCAAACGGTACGAGAAGCAAGAGCACACCTCATTCCGCAGGTGTGTCATGCAATTGTCTGCCACTCTTTGTGCGGCGTACCAAAAAAGGATCGGCACCGCGTCGTTTTATTTGGCACACTGATGCAGCCGATCTCCCGCTGGACATGGCGTGGTGCGTCGCCGCCAGTCATATTGTCAGGGCGGAGGCGGAGGTCTGCAGCAAGGGGTACGCAGCAGGGCACCACTCTCTCTTTTCAATGCTCTGTGACACTGCTGAGGACCACGGATCGACGCAGCGGTACGGTGTCGGCTGGTTTCAGCATTGCTGGCGCACTGCGTCGTGTGCTAGAAACGCTGGTGACGACCACAACGGCAGCGGTGTGGAATGCTATAGTGGCTGTTCCCACTCTAGCACGGCCCAAGTGAACCCAACAAAGTTGCTATGTGGGCTCTCCTCCATTGGTGGTGGTCCACGTGCGTCGGTACATTACGAGGTGAGGGAGCGAGGCGGCTGCTTTCCGAGTCGCAGACCCAAGGTTTCGGCTCACACCGACGACGACGCACCCGTGTTTACGTCGCAGGCAACTGTCTTCCCCTATTCACTTCTGTTTGAAGAAGATAACGGCAACGGCCCCGTACTGGCGGAAGAAGTGGATGAGGGGCGGTGGATGACGGCTTTCTACGCCGTCGGCCGTCACTGCATGAAGGGCGCCTCACGTGAGACGTTACTGCAGGAAATGCTTCTAGTGGAGGGGGACCAGGCTGAGCGTGAGGAGAATGTTGCCGAGCTGCTAGGGCAGCAGCATCGCTCAGCATCCAATGACGAATCATTCGCTGCCTGTCGTCAGGCGGCGTGCTGCGTCCTGGAAGAGGTGTGGCGCTACACTACTTCATAGAAGGGGGACCACAACCAAACAATACGTGACTCTTTGAGAGTCTCACAAAGAGGAACAGATCATACACATATGAACGCAAAGGAAACGAATCTCTGGTGGTAGCAACGAGCCCCCCCCCCCCNCCCCCCCCTCCCAACAAAAAGAAAATGAATAGCCTCTTATTCTGCGTGTTCTTCTGTTTTTTTTTATTCCATTGTGTTGTGCCTGTACATGGCGGGAAAGACTAGAAAAACCCCATTGCGTATGGACACAACTCTGTGGGATGAGGAGCCGGCAGTGGTTCTTGACAACGGCAGCGGTAACATCAAATGCGGTTTCGCTGGCGAGGAAGTCCCACGGTGTGTATTTCCCACGGTTATTGGGACCCCGAAGAAAAGCGGAAGCAACCCGCGTACGTATGTGGGTGATGAAGCTCTACGGGAGAAGGGCCTGCGCTATGCGTACCCGATGGAGCACGGCATCGTTACGGATTGGGACGGGATGGAGCGTGTCTGGCGGCACGCGTACGAGGAGCTGCATGTCCCTGCAGAGCGACAGGCAGTGCTGCTGACGGAACCCCCACTGAACCCCATTGGCAATCGTGAGAAGATGGCAGAGATTCTCTTCGAGTCTTTTGCTGTGCCGGCGCTCCACGTGCAGATTCAGGCCGTCCTAACGCTTTACGCTGCCGGTCGTACAGACGGGCTTGTGCTCGACAGCGGTGACGGCGTCACGCACCTCGTGCCTGTGTTTGAAGGGCAGTCGATGCCCGTGGCTGTGCGGCGGCTGGAGCTCGCTGGGCGCGACGCGACGGAGTGGATGATGGAGCTGCTGAGTGATGAGCTTGGTCGTCCGTTCACAACAACTGCGGACCGCGAGGTGGCGCGGCTTGTGAAGGAGCGTTGCTGCTACGTCGCAGAGTCTTTTGACGAGGAGCTTCAGGCCGCGGAGGAGGCGGTGGATGATAGCGCCAGCGAGCGCTTCACGCTGCCGGACGGCGCGACGATTCCCGTTGGGCGCGCACGTTTTTGCTGCCCGGAGCTTCTCTTCAACCCCGCGCTGGCGGAGCGGCCGTACGACGGCATCCACCGCGCTGTTGCCGACTGTGTGGAGTCATGTCCCATCGATCTACGGCGGCGGCTGCTCGGCAGTATCGTGCTCTCGGGCGGCAACACCATGTTCAAGGGGATGCAACAACGCCTGCAGCGTGAGGTCGCGGCGCTGGTGAACCCCCGCGCGGCTGAGGACGTCTGCGTTGTGGCTGCGAATGAGCGTAAATTCAGCGTCTGGATAGGCGCTGCGATTCTCGCCAGTCTGACGTCCTTTGCGTCAGAGTGGTTCACGCAGCAGGAATACAACGAGCATGGCTCCTCCATCATACACAAACGGTGCGACTCCCTCACCTTTGTGTCCAAGTAGTACTTTGCTGTGAATGCGTATCGAAACTCCTCCCACCCTGACGATATATCGGTCTAAATGAGTGATTGCATAGTTGTGTATAAATGTGTCTCGGTGGGTATGTATGTATGTATGTATGTTCGTAGATGCGTGGCGGTGCATGTGTCATTTATGCACTCTGCACTCATCTTGTTTCCTCTTCCCCTGTCCTCCTTTTTTCTTTTCCGATGGGCACAAAGGAAGACAGAGGTGGTATTGTCTGTCTGTTGACTGTGTGCTCGAAGTGCCCATGCACAGTCCGCCATCATCGCAGTCTGTTGACTCCGCGGAGAACATCTACAACCTGCTTTGCGCTGTTCAGGCACAGGCTAACGCGGATGACGAGGAGATTAAGGCGCTGCGCCTTCGCATTGCGGGGTGTGGAGGCGATGCCCGGGAGACGCGTGACGTAATTCGCAACCTGTCACAGCAGCACGAGGTGGCATGCGAGGAGCTGAAATCGAAGCGTTTGTGCGTTCAGGAACAAGCGGCTCGCTGTGCCGGGGTAATGGAGGTGCTCAACTCCACGCGGCAGGAAGTGGCAAAAGTCGTTGAGGGAATTCTGACATCTGAGCTGCCACTGCACCCAGCAGCGGCAACCACCGCAGAAACAGAAGCAGGCACAGAAGCAGCAGGAGGAAGCAGAATTATCCCGGTAGGGCCCCCACAGGGGCCCTTGCCACCGGCAGAACTTCACGACGTCACGCTGAGCCTGAAGCGCAAAATCGAGACGGCCGCGCTGCAACAGCGACATCGCAATGCGGTGCTGCGGCGGCGCCCCATGGAGGCGGTGCAAGAAACAAGTGCGACCGATGAGAGTGAGGCGGTTGGGCCATTTGCAGTGCGCTTCCGACGCGAAGCAACAACACCAACAATAGCGGATGGTGCTGTTGAGGTTCAGACTTCGTTTCTGGAGGGCCGGCGGCGACGAAAAGTCATCACATTTAACGACGGCCAGTTAGAGGTGCGCGCGGACATTGTCCGTGGAGCTGCGGCGGCTTCTGTGCCTTCGGCGCACGGCAGTACTCCGGAGAAGGAGAGCGCTCCTGCAGCCTCTACTGACACTGTGGTTTCTTCTTCTGCTGCTTCCAGGGCTGCTGTCACTCCTGTTGGAGCGCTGCGTTTCTCTGCGCGGGCCGCCGACCTCAAGGGGCCGTGCGCACCGCGAAGGACATGGTGGCGAACAGAATCCCATACCGGGAGCTGAAGCACATTTTCTCCTCCTCGCGAGAAGTGCAGTTTCCACCGACACCAGTGACTCTGGGAGCCTTATCACATACGCAATTGCTGATCCGTTTGGATATGGCGGGCACATTATCTTTTTCTGTAATGTTTTATTTTTTATTTTTTGATTCTTCTTCGTTTTCTGTTGGAGGGCCGCTCGCCTCCTACAGATGTATTGTTTTTTTTTTTCTTTTCTTTGAGTGTGACTTTGTGGATTCTTCGCTAATTGAAGGGGCAAGCAAAAAGTAAAAAAAAAAAAAACGACGATGAGACAGCAATCAAGAGAGGTGCAATTGGATGACTCTCCCTCTTTGGCTACCGTATCGAAATATTTTCCCTGCTGTTGTTCTGTGGACTGAGCTCTCGCTACGCACGCGATACCGCTGCTCCGTTTTTCTCTCCCTCGCACATCTATTGCACCAGTTGGAAGGAGGAGGAGGCGAGGGTGGGTGCTAACCCTTGCAGAGGGGCGTTCGTGCCGGTAACCGAGGACTAGCGGAGTGCTATGCTTCATCAGACCATGGAGACTCTGCAGCCGGATGTACAGCAGGAGAACCACCTGAAGAAGCCGAAACATGAGGAAGCGGTGGTGAACTTCATTTCTGATGTTCCTGCCTCACCTCGCGCGCTGCCGCAGATACATAAGGTTCCCTTTAAGAGCTGGTACATGTCCAATTACTGCAACGACGTACATTTGTTGTTTATTTTGCGGGTTCAGCGATGTTTGCCCTCGATGCAGCGTGTTTTGACGTTCTACTTTAAGACATGGAGTATCACAGGGGAGACGGAGTTTTACACGACTTTCATCCCGCTGCTGTTTTGGATGGGCCTCCCATTCGAGGGCCTGAACATGTGCTTGATTATGTGTATAAGTCAGTACATAACTGGGGCTATGAAGGACAAAGCTGGTTGCCCGCGTCCGCCTTGCCCGCCTGTTGATCTACGCGGCAGGGTGAGTACGTCCAAGGAGTACGGCTACCCTAGCACTCATGCATCTCATAGTGTCGTATTTCCCTACGCAGCATACAATTTACTTGCCTTGTTTCTTCCCGACCATCCTATTCTATGTTCGTTGGTGTGTATCGCTTTTTCCATCAATGTTTCTCTTTCGCGGTTATTCCTTGGTATGCACTGGCCTGCGGATCTGGTAGCTGGATGGGGCCTCGCTGGTATAATCGTCACATTTCACCGTGCATTTCTGGAGGACTGGTTGACGGCTATCTTTGCCCTGGAGCACGCCATGCTGTGGCATTATGCCGTAGCCTTTTTGATTATGCACGTTCTGGCAGTGTTGCACGCGGCACCCGCTGACCCGTGCCCCTGCTACCTGGACAGTCTGCGCTTTCTTGGCGCCACGCTGGGCGCTTTCTTCGGCACGTGGATTTTCCGCTCACACTACGGTGTGGCGGAAGTCCGCACACTACCGACCGATGTGTGGAGTGTGGTCTTCTCATTTCGCTTCTTTGCGGAGTACATGTGCTGCCTGTTGGTCCTTGTTATAGGAAAGGAACTCACATCGTTTGCCTCCCCTCGATTTCTACGCTGGTTCTTTCTTATGGCCTCGCGAAGAGTCTCAGGGGATCGTTCAGGGGTGCTACAGAGGGTGTGCGTTCTGCTTTCTCATACCGTGCGCCGTGCGTACTGTATACCGTATCATGAAGATACAACTGAAGACGCTTTTCGTCAGACGCCGCAGCACCAAGATCAATGCCAAGCTTCTATCCCCAGCGACAGCATCAGTGCATCGGGTGGTGTGGGTAACACCACTAAGATTCTGGAGTTTGGCGTGCAGCACACACCCGAGGTAAATGGGTTTTTAAGAGAAAACAGCCAGATGTGGTCTCCGCGCACGCACAAGCACTGGTGGCTGTGGGAAGCGCATAGATGCACGATTTCATACTTTGCGGTGGGTCTACTAGTTGCGTGCATTTGCCCAATGATCTTGCGTGAATTTTTCGGCGTAAAATAATTGAGCGGATCGTTTTATCAGCTATGGGGTTGTGTGTAGCAAGGGCGGTATCAACGCTAAAGTGAACCGCTGCTGTTTTGGCACATAACCCAACATCATCAAAAGGAAATATAGCTGGAGTGAATGAGGAGTGAAAATAATAATGGAAGCCAACAAATAATAATAAAAAAAAAATACAATGTTTGAATAGGATAGCGGTAGGGAAGGCGTAAGGAAATGTCTGCGACCACCGTGTGCTCCGCTTCCTCTTTCTTCCTTACTTCTTGTGTCGTTGTCAGAGTTCGCTGTTAGGATTCGTGCAGACCCCGCGGCTCCTCTCGCAGCGCTGCGGCCTCTCGAACAAACCGGGCACACATAGGCAGCCGTAGGAAAGCCTACAACACTCTCAAAGCGGCGCAAAAAAAAAAAAAAATGGCGTTTCGCCTCACTCTGCCCGTGCTCGGGTCTCGAGCTAAAGGGTACCACAACCGCGTGATGGTGTACGCGCACCGACGCCACAGTGCGCGCTACTTGCCACCGAAGCTCGCCCACACGCGCTCGCCTTTGGCGAACAAGTCCCCGGAGGAGTACGGCAACACGTGGGACCCCCGCACAGGGGTGGAGTGGTATTATCGAATGCGGCGGCGCAACGCGTACCGCCACTGGCCGTGGGCGCGCTGGACCGATGATCCGGTGCGCCACCACCGCGAGACGGCGTGCAACCGCACCTTTTCGGCCGCATCGGATGGGCCAAACGATGGGGTTCCTCTGTGGGACTACTACGCGGAGGTGGGGCAGGAGTACACTACCCCAAGCCACTTCCCGTTGCACTACATGGCCCCATTCATCCACCAATACACAGGGAAGGTGTGGCCGCGAAACGAAATTGAGCATTATTTGAAGGTGATTGAGCAGCGCACGGGCCTGCGTTCTATTGAGTCCCTTCACGAAGATCTCCCGCGGCTCCGTGAGTGGGGAGAGACGGAAATGGGCATGGTCCCTCATGGACTTCTACAGCACGTTGAGATGCTTGCGAGAGAAATCGTCTCACAGAACGAGAAGAAGGCATTTCGCAAGAAGATGCACGAGAATGGAATTTTGCGCACAGCAACGATGGAGCGCTATTATGCCCTGCCGCATCTGCGCTCAGGCCCGTCAATGCCGATAGCGCTAAAACAGCCGTCCGGGGAATACCCGTGGGGCAAGTACACCCGCATGCTTGGAGACGAACGGATTCATCCGCTGCAGCGGCCGGACGGACTGTACAAGGATAACATGTATCCGGCGTAGGTGTGGAGGTGAGTCCGCTTTGAGACCGTTTCTCTCTCGGTTGCCCTGACTGTTGTTTTCTCGCGCGGTGCTGGGAATAGAGTGCCTCATTTAGCCTCAACTCTCCCTTGCTGCCCCATTTGTCTTATTTTGTCCATTGGTTGCTGTAGAAGCAAACAAACACAAAAAAAAGAACAAGGGAACAAAAGGAACTGCCCCACTAGTTGTGGGCTCGTTGAACAATTTAAAGCATCTTCCGTATTCTTTTGCTGTTACAAAGTGCAGCGTCCTATATCCAGTGAGTGAAATTCCATGTGGGGCTTTTTCAACGAAGTGCGCGCAGCGGTTCGCCAGACGATTGCTCCTACTGCCGGCACCAACGGAGAAGAGCAAAAACAAGGGGAACGTCAACAGCCCCCACCGCCACTCCCTAAATTGACAGAGATTGGTGACAGACTCAGTGAATGGTGGGACATACTTAGTGTGGCAGCTTCGACAGCTGTGCAGAACGCCATGGGTGACTCTACCAGCGATGGGAGTAATGAGCCACCGCCCCCTCTCTTGCGCCTGAGCGTGGAGGAGCGCGCTGGATTGCCTTCTGATGAGTTGTTTCGTGGTCTCACGGAGGCGGTCAGCATTATCGCTGCGCGGTCAAATGAAGCCCACAAGGAGGCGCGCTTCCTCCTCAGCTTAAGCTTGGAGGAGCAAATTGCACACACAAGTGACTTTCTCAACTGCTACCAATGGTGGGAGAAGCTAGTCAACAAACGCCTTGCAATATGTCAGGAAATTGTTGAAGAATACAAACGTCTACCGGAAAGAGAACCCGATAGTACAATACTCCTCCTCACTCAACGTATACACGGCATACGGGCAAAATGCTTGGAGGATATGGCCAACATCGCTGCCAGAGGACGATTACTGCGCGAGGAGCGATACGACTTTCTCAATCTCCCAAACTCTGGCGGCAGGGAGCCAGCGGATTCCGCACATAAACAGGCTCCGGCACTGCACCCACAAACAGCAGCAAGTAAAATCAAACCCACGGAAGCGAAGAAGGAAGACAAACATGATACAAAACGAGAAAATGACTACAGCGATAGTCATTCAACCATACAACTGGAGGTTCAAGACAAAGCACAAAAACTAAATGAAGATACATCACCCCATTTACATGACGGCCAAATCCGCCGTCAGGCCGGGGAAGAGGCAAGGCACCTAGTTGAAGAAGAGGCACGGCTCTTAGCTGAGGAGGAGGCACGCCGTAAGGCTCAGGAAGAGGCACGCCGTCACGCTGAGGAAGAGGCAAGGCTCCTGGCTGAGGAGGAGGCACGCCGTCAGGCTGAGGAGGAGGCACGCCGTCAGGCTGAGGAGGAGGCACGCCGTCAGGCTCAGGAAGAGGCACGCCGTCAGGCTCAGGAGGAGGCACGCCGTCAGGCTGAGGAGGAGGCACGCCGTCAGGCTGCGGAAAAGGCAAGGCTCTTAGCTGAGGAAGAGGCACGCCGCCAGACTGAGGAGGAAGCACGCCACCAGGCTGAGGAGGAAGCACGCCACCAGGCTGAGAAAGAGGCAAGGCGTTTTGCCGAAAATTCTAAATGCCAGAAACGTAGTTCTAGTATTGCTCTTTCGCCTGATGTGTTGTCTTCACTGGAGCACGATGGGAGTGTTCAGAGGATCGCTATTGTGCGAGCACAGCAAGATGCTTACCTGACTTTGGCGCGTGATTTTGTGCTTGCGACGCGTTTGGTTGAGCAGGGTATGACTGAAAAGGCTTCCAGCAGGGTGAGTGACGCGGACGGCTGGGGGGATGATGAGTTTGAAGAGGTTGAGGTGCACTATACGAATCCTTCGCCTTCTCGGCCCTCAACTTCACGTGCAGTGTCTCGTGTTCAATTGGAGGAGAACGATAATGATGAGGAGTGGGGTGATTGGTAGGAAATGTTGATTTTCCGTTGTTGCTCTGGTTCAGACTCATTGTATCTTCTTTGTATTCTTTGGCGTTTGTCTGGTTGCTTGGGTGGAATAGCACACCGAAGTATTTTGTTTTGCTTGCTTTTTGTTGCTTTAATGAAGAGCCGTGTCTCTTTCCTTCTCCGTTATCGTTATAGGTATTCTCTGCACAAGTACGAAAAGTGAATCGACTGATAAAGGGAGGGACGCAGGGAAATAAGGAGATGCCCATCGCGGAGGTGCAGCCTGACGTTGATTCCCAGCCGCAGCCTAAGGAGCAGCAGCAGCAAGCGAGCACAGAGACTGGCAAAAAGAGCAAGGGCAGTTCGTATTACTACTGGCATGGACACGAAAAGGAGCGCGCCAAAATGGGGGATGTGGCGCCATTGCCAAAACCACAGCTGGTGAAGAAGTCCGATGAGATAGCCCCCATTGCGGGCGCTGTGATGCACCCTATCACGAAATACAGCTGGAGCGACATGGAAAACACTGTGACCGTCTACGTGGATACATTGTTTGAGGGGAAGGAGTCTATGGCGCCCAACACGCTTCAGGTGGAGTTCAAGAAGCGAAAGCTAACGGTATCCTACGTGGCAAATGTTGAGACGTCCAAGGCGAGCGTAGTGCAGCGCACGAAGCAGCTGGTGCTCCACCTGTCCAAGACCATCAAGGCGGAAGAGAGCAGCTACAGGGTAAAGGACACGAATGGGCAGGTTGTGTTGCGGCTCCGGAAGGAGGAGGCGTCGGCGTGGTACGATCTGGTGGACAAGAACGCCAACTTGGTTGACGATGACTCTGCTGACGAGGAGCAGCCGAACCCTATGGAGAAAGATGACGACCTTGAGTGAGATGGGGTTAGCGTTGCTCAGGTAAAGGGTGATGTAGCTACTGATGCATGCTGCAGTGACACTTCAGTTAGGAGGATGAACACCGATGCATACAGCCTTAAGTATACTTCCTGTTTTTTTGCTAATTGATTATTGATCACACCGTATTTATTCACTCTTCCACATGCACACACACACGGTGTGTTGGAGTGTTGCCAGCGACTGGTGACTGACCGTGGAAATATACTCATCTTCTTATTTTGCTCACTAAATCTCTCTGTTGCAGTAATGAGGGTGAACAATTGATTGCTCAATCCTTTTATTCTTTCTTCTTTCGTAGGCGTACCCCACGAGGAGTTGGCTGTGGGAGTGGGAAAGAAAGGTTATATTCTCAATTCTTAGCTTCTTTGTAATTCCTTTTTCACAGAGAGCCACAACGGCTGTGTTTCGGCACACGTATGTGCCCACTGCAGCGCCGCATGTTGTGGCAATTGAGTAGTGTGGCGTCACACCGCTTGGCGCTTACGCAATGTGCCCCTTCGGCGCGCAACTGCTGCTGTTTCTCGCTTAGATGCTTCTCCACCGTCGGTTGTGGTGCGGCGTGCGCGACCAACACCAGTGGAAGTGGAAGTGACAACACAAATAAGCGTGCGGGTGATGCGATAAGTATACCATCTATTATATTCTTTGGTGGCGACATTGTGTCTCTGGTAGCCCTCAAGATGTTGCATGAACGTCTTGAGAAGATAAAGGCGGTGATTGGAGTTGAGATGCCTCCTTCTGAAGAGCAACAGTGTATACCAAGTACTCCAGCAAGGCCACAGCTTGTTGTGGTGTGCCCGTTCCTGCCCGGTGATCCAAAAGCCGTATCGCAGCGGCACCGCCGTCAGTACCCCGTGGCGCGTTACTGTGTCGAACAGGGCATACCACTGCTTCCTGTTGACCACCCGACATCTCTTGCGCAGAGTGGGACGTTGCGGTATCTTCTTCACCCATGGCACAGTTCTTTGGAAGAAGGCGGCGGCTCAGCGCGGGAGGAGGGTGGGTACATAGCAGGCCAGCCACTGGAGGCATTTGATGTTGCGGTTGTAGTGTCGTTTCGTTACTTCCTCCCCAACAGACTCCTAGAGCGACTCCCACGTACCGTCAATATTCACCCATCGCTTCTGCCGCGGTATCGCGGAGCGAGTCCCATCTTCGCGCCGCTGCTGCGCTGCGACGAGGCGGGTGGGGCAAGCATCATCAAGATGGCGGCGCGGCAAAAGCTGATGGACTCGGGTGACGTCTTGTGGCGACAATCGGTGCCGATCCCGCGCGACATGAGCGTCCGCGAGTACTTCCCGCTCGTGACGCGGCTGGCGGCGGCGGGGCTTTGCGAGTGTCTCTTCGGCGGGCCGCCTGCGCTGTCTCCCACCACCGACTGGCACGCGGTGGACATCGCCGCCGACGCAGTGACGGATGCGGCTGCATGTAGCGTGTGCGACTGGCCACGCAGCTTTGACGCCCGCTGGAGTGCGGCGTGGCCGCAGAACTACAATGTGCACTTCAGAGATGATCCATACCATGCATCGCGGTTACCGAAAGACAGAGCTGTGCTTCATTGGGATGCCATGACTGCAGAGGAGGCATACGGCACGTGGCGGGCCTTTGTCGGTGGGGAGTACTTCAGTCCAACTGTCAATGCGATACTTGACAAGGGAGCGACACCTGTGCGGGAGCAGCTGCTGAAGCGACTGCTTCTTGGCGCGGCTCGGAAGATTAAAAAAAGCATCTGCGATCATCAAAATCCACACGAGGGGACACCATTATCATCATCATCATCATCGCCACCACCGTCGTCATCGTCTGCAGTAGTAGGCGAAGGCAACTGCGGCGGCTTGTCATCACCACCGTCAACAAGTGCAACGAGTGGCACGGCGACGACAGAGGAGATGTCAGTGGAAGCAGATGATCATCACCATCTGCACCGCCATCTTCTCATTCCCTGCACATTCACTGACGCCGTACATCCAAGAGATGTTCCCAGTGCTGTGTGGCAGGAGCTTCGGCAGCTGGAGAAAGGGGACGATTCTGCGACGATACTGGCGGTTCATCAACACCATTACGATGACCACGACGTGGAGAGCCATATTTCGCCTGGCAGTGCCTACTTCCCCAAAGCAGTTGAGGATATGTGTGCGGTGAAGTGTCGTGCGGGGTGGTTCGTGTGGCAGAAGGCGACACTGAAGGGGTCCACATCTCAGCCAGCCTACTTGCTCCGAAAAGGAATGGCCATGAAGACTGGTGTGCTGTACGTCGGTCTCTTCGTGGAGAACAATGAGGGTGAATAGGTCGGTGTTGCACAAGGGGTAGTGTTTTGGAAAGGCAGGGAACGTGCACCCCTGTATACATGTCAAAAGCAGAATAAAAAAAGTCCCTCTGTGTGTATGTAGGATTGTGTATGGAAAATTCTGTGGTCATCCTCCTTTCTCATGCTCTGTTTAGTCACACAGCCACAAGCCTATTGGAGAAGATGGGCATCAAAGGTAGAAGAAAGCGTATTCGCGAACGGGAGGCCAAAGCGCAACAGGAAGAGGAATGGGCCGCGGATAACAGCAGCGATTACGATGACGATGACGATGACACCATTGCAGTGATGGGCAATGGGCCAATGATGCCGCCCGTGGACGCCGGCGGGCGGCTGCGCATGAAGAAGACGGACTTGTTCAACATGCACGACCTGGAATACCTTGAGCGCATCGCGGAAGAGCACGAAAATCGTCGCACGAGCCACCTGCGCAAGAAGCGGGACAGTGAAAACGTAGAAGAAGAGGTAGCGGAAACGGAGGGTTTGATGCAGCACCATTTTGACACGGAAGACGCGCTGCAAACGCTATTCAATTCTGCAGCTCGAAAGGCGGCGAAAGGAGAGGAGAGCTTGCTTGAGCGGCGCCGCCGTGCCGCCAAAGGCGCTCGCTACAATCATCCACTTATCGGCATCGACCCGCAGATTGTGGCTGCGCTGCAGAAGGAAGGGTTTTGCTGCATGACGACCATCCAAGAGCGGGTGATCCCGCACGCTCTGCAGGGCTACGACCTCCTTGGGCAGGCGAAGACGGGTTCCGGAAAGACACTCGCCTTCTGCGTTCCGGTATTGCATACCATTCTCAAACACGTGCGTAAACAACCCAACGCGACGTACAGCTTGATGCTCGCACCAACGAAGGAGCTGTGCGTGCAAACGCACGATGTACTCAAGAGTGTCTGTCAGCATATTCCGGCTGATGTTGCCGTATTCTCTGTACAGCTCATCACGGGTGGGACGAAGGTGACGGAAGAACGCCGGCTTCTGACGGCAGGTGCCTCAATCGTGGTTGGAACTCCCGGCCGTGTTCACGATCATGTTAAGCACTGCGTCAATTGGGACCTCACGCGGTTACGGTTCCTCGTTCTGGACGAAGCGGATCGTATGCTGGCGGATGGATTTCAGAAGGATCTTGATGCTATTGTGCAGCGACTGCCACACTCCCGTCAGACCTTCCTGTTTTCAGCAACGAACTCCAAGTCGGTGCGAGAGCTCGCCCGACTTTCCCTGTCACGCACACCGCTGTTCATCGCGACCACCGGAAGCGCACCGACGCCAGTGCAGGTGGCGGATCAAGTCCTCGGTGACGCTGTTGCTACGGACTCCCTCGTTATGCCACCGTACGGTTCCTACGAGGACCCGCCTACGGATGATGAGCAGGAAGAGGAGGAGGAGGGAGAAGAGGAAGAGGAAGAGCATGACGATGATATTGAGGAAGATTCGAATGGGGCACAACATCAGCTGGAAGGTGACGATGCGGAGCCCATCCCGAGCAGTCTGCGCCAATTCTGCCACATCACACCTGTGGGGAGGCGTCTGATTTGTCTGTACACATTTGTGAAACGTGTCGCCCGCACTTCGAAGGCGATGGTCTTCTGCTCCACCATTGCCAGCACCATATTCCACTTCCAGATGATGGGCTCTGTGGGGTTTCACGATGAGGTGATAATGCTTCACGGGCATATGAAACACCGCCAACGTGTTGCTGCCTTTCAGGCCTTCAATGAGTGGAACACTGGTGTGTTGTTCTGCACCGATGTGGCTGCACGTGGTCTCGACATTCCGAACGTGGAGTGGATTCTGCAATACGACCCGCCGCTTGACCCCACGGAGTATGTGCACCGCATTGGCCGTACGGCACGCGCAGGCAACGTTGGCAACGCTCTGCTCTTCCTTACACCGGAGGAGGTTGGCTTTGTGCGATACCTCTCACGCTTCGGCATCACTCTGGAGAGGTACCCGATGCCGGAGAAGCTCCCGCCGATTCAGATGAAGCTGGAGCACGTGCTGCAGCTCGATCCCATCGTGGCGAAGAGCGCTGTTAGTGCCTACAGAGCGCACGTCGGCGCGTATCAGAGCCACCTGCTAAAGGAGACATTCAAGGTGCAACGCCTCGACCTGGCTGGGCTCGCGCGGAGTTTTGCGCTTACGTCGCCGCCGAGCGTCACGCTGCCGAAGAACACCGCAGAGGAGAAAAAGCAGGAGTACGTCAAGGGGAAGCTCAAGTCGCTCAACCGGCGTCGCCTTGAAGCGAAGAAGTACTACGAGGCTCAGAAGACAAAACCACAGTGGACACCTGACGGCTGTTTTGTAGGAGCCGTCCCGCCAAAGTTCTGAGACGGCACCTCACAGCCGCTGGTGTGTTGGTTTAAAAAGAAATTACACGATTAATGGAGAGAGCATTGTCTTTTTTCCACCATTTTTTTGCCCTCGCGCCTTCTCCATTTCGCTACTTTGCGTGACAACTGCTGTGGTATTGTCTAGTGCATTTACCTTCTGCGGATGCAGTGGACATCCGTATATCTGTGTGTTTTTTTTTCCTCTTTTTTTTTTTCTCTGGTGGGTTTTCGATGCCTCTATGTCGCGCACATATACGTCTGTATGTTTGTGGGAGGCTTGCAAAGGCTCGCACTTCCGAATGGAGGACGGCACCACTGTCTGTCGGGGGGGTCTCACCACTAGCGCAGACAGTACGACGTGCCGCAGGCTGAACGGAAGCGGGGACGCGGGTGTTCTCCGTATCCCTGTGGTGCTCTTCAGCAACACACACTTCTTTTTCCCACCACCGCCATTGCATCCGCACAACTCAGACCAAACAGGGGATGGCAAGGACCGCTACCACGGTAGCATCGTGTTTACGAGCACGATGATCGTCGTTAAGATTGCCGTCAACACCTGTAACGAAGAGAACAACACCAATAATCGCAATTTGTCAAGTGATGACGGAACAGTACGTGAGGTGGCCGCCTTCACTGACAGCGTTGACGCCGTGACAGGGTTTCATATGTGGGTGTCCGACGCGCCACGTCACACGTTGTTTTACCGGCTGGAACTCCTGGGCGGGGCGCACAGCGTTTTCTTCCAGATCGACGAGGCACGTGTAGGGTCACCGCCCCTGTGTACAGCCGATAACACGGGTGATGTAGCAGCGGAGGGGCTTGTGCCGTGGTGGGCACATCGTGTTGAAGAATTTATCGGGCAAAACATCGACACATGCGTCTTGCCGCGCGAGAACGACAACAACAGTAGAGACCCCTCAGATATGAGCTTTGAGGGGTCTACTATTGACTGGGGTGGTCTGCTGGCTTCTGCGGTAGAACAGCTCAACAGTGCGAAGGGTTCTGCATGCTGCTGCGCAGAAGCACAGAACGTCTGTGGGTGGAGCTTGCCGGTGATGTACGTGAGCGCCCTACCTCCTCCTCCTACTCCTCCTGCAGTTGTGGGGACCGAGAGTCCAATTGCCACGATTGCAAAAAACAGTGTTGCAGAGTGGGAGGCACAACGACTGAACTGCACCCAAGCGGCATTCACTGCTCGTATTGCGCTAATACACGACGAGTATGTGAAGCGAGAGGATCTTCTTCTGCAATGGATGTCTGAGTTCCTACCAGCCGAAGTTGGTGTGAGAAAAGGTGTAAATTCTGGTATTGCAGCTGCGTCGTTGAGCCTGCGTGGCCAAGCCTCAGTGGAGGAGAACCAGCACGAGTGTGGAGGAGACGGCTTGGGCATCACCGATGAAGTGATGCAGCTACTCGCCGAAGAAGAGAACGTAGCGCGGATGAAGTTAGTAAAGTACACCGCCAGTGTTCAACAAGGGAGCCATGGGAGAGTAGCGCCGCAAACACAAGAGGCGTAGGGTGTGGCTATTTGGCCAGCTGTGCGCGAACCATCCCTGACCATCGCTGTGCCTGTATTTTTCTGTGACTCTGTGTGGGACTGTCATTGTTTGAGCCAGAGAAAAAGCGACACCTCTTTTCCTCCCGTTTTTCTTAAGCAACAGCAACCCCGCCTCTGTTTAGCATTACAACACAACGACTGGTGCTGTGGAGGCATCGCACAACGAATGGAAGACCCCGAGAGTCGCCGGCGCGAGATTGAGACTCGCATTGGCGGGGCGTTGAGCAACGCGCAGCACGCGTTGAGCGTCAGCTCGCAGCAGAAACTTCCCAATGCCATGGCGTTCACGTACACGGCGCTGACAGCTCTGGTCGAGTACCTCTCTCTCCCCAGTGGCTCCCCAAAAGCAGCGGCAACGGCGAGTCGAATCGCGAAACTGTGGCGTAGCATAATGTCCAACTTGCGCCAGGGCGGGGGCGGCAGCAGGCTGCACAGCTCGACAGTAAGTGAGGTTGACGACACCGCGGCTCCCGAATACGATGGGACAAAAACCCAGGTGGAGGGGGCGGAGCACCCTGATGTGCTGCACCTCCAGGAGCGCCTCGCGAGCATAAAGGAGGAACACGAAGGTGCACTGCAGCGCCTCAATAGCGTCCAAGAAGAGCTTGTGGCGCTGCAGCACTCCACTGCAAAGTACAGAGACGATATTATGATACAAGAGGCGGCGATAGAGCAACTCCGTGGCGAGAATGACGCCCTCAAAGAGGCGCTTCAAGAAGAAAATGTCAAGGCAACGGCACTGGCCGAATCTCTACAGGAATCAAACGAATTATTACAACGTTTGCGGGATGCAAATAATTCTCTCCAGACGTCCCTAGATCAGGAACGCAGCTCTCGACGTGAAGAGAAAGAGAAAGCAGTACTCGCCACACAATCCTCTGTTGACAAGGATGACTACGAGGCGCTAAAGCTGCAAGTTCAGCTTCTCCGTCAAGCATTGCGCGAAGGATACAACAACACAGCAGCGGGGGAGGTTAAAGTAGGCAAGAAGACAATGGCTGATATTGAAAACGAGCACCAGGAACAGCTTCTCGCCATGAAGCTTACAATCGCACAGCAGTGTAAGGAAGAAAACAAGCTCATTAGCGAAATTGACAAACTCAACAAGCGCATAGAAGACTTAAACCACAAATATAACCGTGAACGTGAGCGTGCGGAGAGCGCTGAGCGCAGCGCCTTTGACAGCGCCGATAGTGCCGAGCAGCGTCACCTTGAGCAGCTGTCTACCCTCGAGACGGCGATGGAGCGGCAGAAGCAGGAGCATGCCGCCGAGGTGGAGGAGCTGCGGGCCGCACTGCAGCGTGAACGTGAGCGTGCGGAGAGCGCTGAGCGCAGCGCCTTTGACAGCGCCGATAGTGC